TCCCCCAGTTTCTTAATGAGAACAGGGTGAGAGACAGTGTCGAAGGCCTTCCGAAAGTCCAGAAAGACTATGCCCACTGCTACCTGCATCTAAGGATTTGGTGACCTGGTCATAGAAGGCCACCAGGTTGGCCTGACAGGACCTGCCTCTAATGAACCCGTGTTGGTTGCCCCTAGGCATAATCTCCCCTGCTGGTCCCTCGTGGACATTTGCCAGGATAATTCTCTCAAAAACCTTGCCCAGGATCGAGGTAAGACTAACTGGCCTATAGTTCCCCGGGTCCTCCTTCCTCCCTTTTTTTGAAGATGGGAACCATGTTGGCCCTCTTCCAGTCCTCTGGCACCACACCAGAGCACCATGAGTGCTCGTAAAGCCGTGCCAGGTGTCCCACAGTGGCCTCAGCTAATTCGTTCAGCACTCGGGGGTGGAGATCATCTGGACCAGCTGATTTAAATACATCCAGCCCCTCCAGAAGTTCCCTGACTAGATCCTCCCTGACCCTTGGCCTAGGTGTGCCTCCCCTGGAGCTTGAGGGGGTCCTGGTAGGGGGCTGATCCGGTCCCTACTCAGGAAAATGGAGGCAAAGAAGTTGTTAGATAGGTTAGCTGTGTCGTCTGGTGTGACGACCAGATTTCCTAGCTTGTCTTGCAGGGGCCCCACATTACCTGGTACCTTCTTTTTGCCCCCTATGTATTTAAAAAAGGACTTCTTGTTGTTCTTGATCTGGGTAACTAGTCCCAGTTCCATCTCCGCCTTGGCCTTCCTGACCCACCCCCCTGCATCCCAAAGCAACTGCAGTATAGTCATCCCTGGTGATGGCCCCTCCCTTCCATTGGGTGTGCACCTCCCTTTTAGCTAGGAGACATTCTCGGATGCTTTTGGTGAACCATGGAGTGAGCCATGGAGTGTGGAGCAGTGACTCGCCATTGCTTTCTATTAGAGAATACTCGGTCTCTTCTTGAGAAAAGAGCTGACACCCGCTGTCATTTTTGCATTAACTGTCATGGTGTTTCTCCTAAAAATAAAAAGAAATACGACACAATTGGTTCCTGAAAACCGTGTCTTAAATCAAAGCATTGTAACTGGGAACCAATTTTCTCATAAGAAACAATATTATAAATGAGGGATTGGTTCCTGAATGGGCCCAATACCCTATTTTCACCAAAAATACCCCAGAATTCTGTACTCGATCAATTATAGATGAGTCATATAGCTACATTAATGTATTTGTATTGTAAATAGCAATCGTATTGATTTGGAAGGACTTCTTTGAGGTGACTTTGCTGGACTTTTTGAAGGGTTCTTGGTTGGAGTCTTTTCAGCAGTCTTGGCTGCAGGTTTTTCTGGAGTCTTGTCTGCTTTCTTAAAGAAAGTGTCCGTGGAAGTTTGGACAGATTTTCTCCAGAGAGATGAGCGAACTTGTGGCTTAGTGTCACATCGAATCAAGCGTTGTAAGTTGAAATTGACATCAGAGAGTTGAAACAGGGTGTCAGTTTATAAACATAAGTGCAAAACGTTGTAACATGAAACATTGTAAGTCAAGAACTACCTGTATTTGGATGTTATAGAAGTGTGTTAAAGATCCCATTTGTGAACCCCTTCCCAGTGGGGATCAGAAGCTTTCTGAATACCTTCCCTCTGCACTTATCTATATGCTAACAGTAAAAACTTAAAAAAACAAGTTAGTATTGGAATGCATGAGGAAGAAAGTCACATGGGAAGACTGGACAAAGGGCTCTGTCTTTAAAAGAAAGGTAAGGAGTGGCTTACTAAAGGACCATTTTAATGACCGTCTGTAACATCAGAGTTTGCTCCTTCATTACTTAGATATCCTATGTACTAGATAGCCAAAGTTTACTGATCCTTTGGGGTGTCTGAGACTAAGAGGCAGTTCCATGTAGCTGAAGCAGATGGTGTAAATGGAATAGATTAATGAAAGCCAAGCAGCATGTATTTTTTGGGAGCCCTTGACTTGAAGAGCAGGTTATTCTGAAGGGGGTGTACTCGCACGATGATGTATGTTGTATCCACTGCATTGTAGTTAATCTCTGGTGGCAAGGTGGCTGGAGTGCTGAGTAATCCTGCTTGCTGTGCCACATATCTAGAAGGGAGGTACTGCAAGCACCAGTGTAGGTGAATCTGTTTAGTGACTCAGTGCCATAGTAACATACTACCAGACAAAGATTTGAGTATAGATCTCTGAGTTTTCAGGGCCTTGGAGTGCTGTGGGAAGAGAAAATATTTTGTCATTGAAAACCAATGGTAACTGTAAGTAATGCTCATCAAAGTAGCTGATCAAAGAGGTGGTTTCTGTCAATTGGGGCCTATGAAGGAGTATTCTAGAAACTCTTTGCTCCCCACCATGCTCCTTCCCACCTTTATGTGGTGTGTTTGGTGCAGGAGAATATATACTTGTTCATCTGGTATCTCAAAGGCAGGGTACCTAGTTCTCAAAACTTGTCTAAATCTTTCCTAACTATGCAGTTGGTTTAGTAAATGAGATCACCCACAAAAATCCTTGCCTCCTGCAAATTTCCTTGACCATCACAGCTATACCACCACTCCCAAGTTCGCTGCTTCATCTGTTAAACTAAACTTTAATGCCCCCTTCCTCCAACTAAAAATGAAATTATTATTCTAAACACTATTAGAGCATTGTTGACCTGAGCAGTGCAGTTTTGTTTAAAATATTGATCATCCGGGAATTGTAGTGTTCTATATTAAATGTGAAAATGCATAGATGTTGAAAGCTTGTTCCACTCTAATGCAAAGCTCTTAAATTTAGGGATAAGCTTGCAGTTCTTCGAGCACTTGCATCTACAGTAAAACGTGTAAGTACTTCTTTTATGCATAATCAGGCTTATGCAGTTAGGTAGTGCTGTTTGTCTAACACATTGGCCTCTCACCCAGATCTCTATTGTGGAAAGTGAAAAGTGGCATCCCAGCTCCTATTTGAGCAAAAACCTGTCACATCACATGGCACCGTTGGCAGTGTCCCTAGAAGGTATTAATTCCCTTAATGAAAGAAAAATTATTTCCTGGCTGAAACAATAGCAGAAGCAAGATGGACATACTGCTCTACCAATTTAGTTTCTAGGTTGCTGGAATTTACCAAATAAAGTAGCTAATCCAGCAAATCTATACCTAAGCCTCCCACCACCCTGCAAAGGGCAGTCTTGCCTGTACTTCTCTTTATCATTCTTTTTCTTCAAATGTGATGCATGCACACTGCATGCATCATTGTTTCAGTAATACTAGAAAAGTGATACAGCAAGAGTCCATGACACTGGTAATTTTGAATCCCTCGTGGTGCATGAGATAAGTGAAGAACCCATGGCCTCCCATCACCACATCTTTTAAGGACAAGTTGCCAGTGATTCTGGAGGCTTGGATAACCCATCAGTTTTCAGGAAGCTGGTTGGTGGGGTAAGGAATGGACTCTGTTGTAGCAGAGTAGTCATGGTACTCTTAAGGGCCGTGTCCACAATCGTGGCTGTATAATATGTGGCACCACAGACCCATCTGCAGCACCACATATTCAGGCATTTCCTGCACTACTACCTTGCAGTGTGGGGTGGGGTTTTGACCCTGGGAGATCCAGGGATCAAAAACCCCATGCAGAAAAAAAGTGGAGTGGCACATGTGGGGACAGTGCATGCCATCTAGAACCAGAGCCTGACTGGCCGGAGCCACGCTCCAGCTGCCGGCAAGGCTCCCAGCTACAGGAGGACCACAGCTGGAGCTTCCCCAGGACCCCAGATAAGGGGGCTGGGCCAGAAACTGCATGGCCCCAGCCTCCCCTACCCCACCCAGGATAACCTGCTATGTGCTAGAGGGTGCATGGCACAGGTGTTCCCCAAGGACAAGTAGCAGTGGCACAAGATGTTGTGCTGCTAGTTGTCCCCAGGGAACAAAAAGTCTGCACTCGTCTGGACGCAGCCAAAGAGTCTTTTCCTGGGCACACTTATGAAAACAGTCAGCTCCAGCTCCATCTCAACTTCTTACCATATAATCACATGTATGGATAATCTGGAGTAGTTTAGAACTGTTCTTTTATACTGCACTGTATTGCTATGAGTTGCGTACTTGTGGAAGTTTTAAAAAGGGGGGAAATACAGTGTGTGCACCAATAAAGCATACAGCCAGAGTCGATACTGCCTTGTACCTTATGCAGCCATGGTTCATTTTCACTAATTATGCTATTTAATTGCTATGTAGGTTAAGCTTCTAAAAGAGCCTCACTCACATTTCTGCTTCTTGATCTATAACATTATAAACCAAGACATGCTGTGGGCATGAGTTTGTAAATAGGGGTCTGTCCTTTCTGAAAATTACGAGCCAAATCCTGAGTGTATCCTCATTTTTCATAAACTTCTGAGAATTGAGAGGACTTTTTATCCTGCAAAAGACTCAGCATCTTGGAGTAATGAGACTCTTAGAGTTAACATTTAGTCTTCTTTAAAATATTGTAATAATCTCAGTATATTTATACATTTACTCCTGAGTTAAGACACTCCCACATTTCAGTGGAGGGATTTCTGTTACTTAGGCTATGTGTCCTGGCACAGCTGATCTGCTTCATTGAAAGAAACGGGTGTTATCTGTTATCCCACAGGGTCAGCCACCTGCTGCTCCTGGGAGCGATGGGCTCAATCCTTCTGAGTAACATCTCCCTGAACAGGGAAACCCAGGGCTTCAGGGGAGCAATCTTGTATCCCCTGTAGGGAAATTCTTTGGGGTACCTAGGATCTAGGCTGCATGCATTTTCCACCTTAAAACAAACACGTCTGCTACAAATGAATACTACCTCTTACCTTAGACACATTTTTGGGCATTTATGGTGTGACAGAGGGCTTTCACTTTGTGCCACCATAAAAAATTTTATGGCAGCGCAAAGGCCACATCAGTTTGCAGCCTTAAATACACTTCTGCTTAGACTCCATTAAGTGGTGTTTGCAATAAGTGATGGTGACTCTCTGATTGTAGGATAAATCTACAATGCATCATTTTACAAAGGCTGTAAATCTTTTACATTATATCCCTTGCTTTCTGCAGGATCCCACTGCAGTTCATTATATGTTTCATGATGACCCTTACCTTATTCCAAGAACCTCCTCAGAGCTCGTAAGTATTATGTTTTGAAGCTTTGACTTCCCTCCTCAGGCCAGAAGTAATTGTTTGTGTGTTTTTTAAATTGCAAAAGAATGTCCTGCTGGGCTTGAAACATGTTTAGAATTTGTTTTTTTTTGTTTGTATTTTCCCCACATTCTGTTGACTGTAAAGTGGAACTGAGCAAATCCAAGAGCAAATACTAACAAGCATACTTGGGCTCTTCTCCCGTCTCTGTTATACATTTGTTTGTTTACAATATTTGCCTCTTTCCCCTGCAGCATTTATTTGCACTCAGTAAGCAGTCTGGAAAAAATGCTGCAAAATACATCATTAATGAATTTCCTCAATATTTTGAGAGAGATATTGCAGAACCTCATATCCCGGTAAGCTTTCTGTTCTTGAAGTACTTGCTGCTTCTGCTTTGGTTGTTCAGTAACATGGGCTATAAGACTGTGAGACTAAAGGCAGTAGTTGTGAGCTCGATAGCATTCTATCAATGACTAAGCCTTAGGACTTGCCGCTAAACAGTTGGTGACTAAGTCTGTGATTTCATGTGGACTTAATGGGGAAACACTTTTTCCAAAGCATCAAATAGCATTTGTGATCTAGTTCAGGTGTCAAGAGCCCGGAAAATGACTTGTACTGAGGTTGCTGCTGTTATGTTGTAGTTCTAATGATGCTAAGGGTGGGTGACACAATCATTTGGTGTTCTGGTGGATAGAGGGTTTGAAGTACTGTTCATCTCGTGCTTTTTGCTTTTAGTGTTTGATGCCTGAGAACCTTAAACCTCAGATTGAAGGAGTGAGTGAGGCAGCTCTTGAAGAACACATCCAGCTCAGGAAAGTAAAAGCTTCTGTGGACATGTATGATCAGCTCCTGCAAGCAGGTACTCAAGCTGCTGTTTTGTAGCTGGCACTGACTGTATGCATGCAAGTGTGTGTGTTTGCACTTGCGTGCTTAGACTTAACAGGAAGCTGGCTTAAAAATAAAACACTGGGTTTCAGGAATGACTTGTTCTGATGAATTGATTCTCAAAAGCTTTCTTGTACTACTATTGGCAGTCATGCTGATACCCTTTCAGTTGTGCCCACTAGTCTGGAAACAGGTTTTTCCAATCAAGCAATCAGAGGTAATGGTATTTGAAAAAGGATAGTCCAAAGGTGAGGCTTTTTACAAAGTGGTCCATAGAACAGAAAAGAGAGTGTACCTTGTTATTTAAAACACTTTTTGGTTTAAACTGTCTGAGCAATGTATCTTATGCTTCCCATCCAAAAATGATTATTGATCAATCTTCCAGGAAATTTCTCTTGTTCTCCCATGTTTTCAAATGTGCTTACCAGCATGTCACAATAAAACAAACTGAACTAACACAGCAGTTATCTGTACCTTGGTGATCTCAGAGCATGTTTTACCCAGAATGGATTAGACCAAGTCTATGCTACGGATTTTGTCTACATAATGAGTTTTGTCACTGCTGTGACAGATGCAATTTGTGACTGGCATAGCTGTGCCAGGGAAAGCCCCAAATGTAGATGCGTTTACGCTGGCAAAATCATAGCTTTGTTGCTATAAACTGCATCCTTCCTTAGTGCTGTGCCAGAATAGCATACCAGCCATGCATTCCTCCAACAAGGCTGGCCTTGCTAAGGAAGGCTAGTTTCTTAAATTCATCTTCAGTTAATGGGAGGAATCTTAGAATACAAAGCTTTTGAGGGAAGTGAAAATGTTGGCAAAGCAAGCCCTGTCGACATAGCGTATCTGAACTTCTACAAAGCCTTTGATAGGATCCTTGCTGATGTGGTATTTTGGCTTTCTCCGATTTAAAAAAAAAAAAAAAAAAAATCCCTAATTTTCAGTTTAAGAAAAGTAACCCCAAAATCGCATTTTTTCCATGATTAAAATGAAACACCGCTATATCTATTTTTAGTGGTGTTTCATTTTAACCATGGAAAAATGTGGATTTGGGGTTACTTTTTTTAAACCAAAAACTGGGTTTTGGTTTTTTTATCAGAGAAAACCAGGATCCCTGCTCATCAGACACACTTAATGAAGTTCAGTAGTCATGGGATTACACTTGTGGATTAGACATTGGCTTAAAGAGAAAAATACAGAATGAGTATAAAATAAATGGTCAGAATTTGGGATAGAAAGAAGTAAACAGCAGGGTCTTCCAGGGTGTGTATTGGGACTGGTGCTGTTTAACATTCATAAATGATCTGGAAAAGGGGTGAGTAGCAAGGTGGCCAGACAGGCAGATAACACACAGTTATTCACAAGTTGTCTTGTTCTTTAGCACTTTGAAAAACTGCAGAAGGATCTGGCACTGTTGAGCAAATGGGCAACTAAATGGCAAGTGAAATGCAGTGTAGATAAGTGAAGTGGTGCAAATGGGCAAAAATAACCCAAACTTATACCTACACTATGAAAGTTCTCTACATTAGCTATTACCATACAGGAAGGAGATCTGGGAATCATTGTGGGCACATCACTAAAAACATCAGCTTGGTGCTCAGCAGCTGTCAAAAAAGGCAAACTAAATGTTAGATATTATTCGGAAGGAAATTGTAAATAAACCAAAGTACCGTTATGCCCTTCATAAATCCATGGTTCATCTGCATCTTAAATACTGTGCATAGTTTTGGTCCTCTATAGGAGAACTAGAGAAATTCCAGAGAAGGGCAATAAGGATGATTGGTGGTATGGAGGGGCTTTCATATGAGGAGAGACTGAAGAGGCTAGGCCCCTTCAGCATCCAGTTTAGAAAAGAGATGCTGGAGAGGAAACATAAGGGTTTACAAAATACTGAATAGTTGAGAGAAAGTAAATAGGGATTTATTATTGACTATCACAATACAGGAGTCACAAAATGAAACTCGGGCAGTAAGCTTAAAACTAACAAAAAAGCTTCCCCCCTACCCCAGCACACATGCGGAGAACGCATCTACATGTGCTGTTAGCATGAAGCAATAAACTCAGGCACATACTACACCAGTGTTTATTGCTCCCGGGCGCCACATTTGCATATGTGCCCAGGATGATGCTCAGTGTGCTGCAGAGGGGGCTGGCTGAGGCACAGGGGTGCAAGACAAGTCAGCAGGCAGAAGCACCCTGCTGAAGCACCCTCTTGCCCCAGCCAGCCTCATCAGCATCTACGCTTTGTGTTGCTGTGGAGTTAATAACTCTGCTCTAGGATAGTACTTGTGTTGACAGGTACTAACCTATGGCAGAGTTGATTAGTTTACCTGTCCTAATAGCACTGCTCACGCAGACACTGAGACTTTACTGCAGATCTAATTAGTCAGCTTCACAGTAAATGTCTTATGTAGATGTGCCCAGTGTGTAGCCATGAGTTCCGCACCAGTTCCAAGATGTTGTGAAAACTGACAGTTTAGTCCAGGGTGCTCAACTCCTAGCCCACAGAGCCGTGGCTTCTGGCCCGCAGGACTCCGCTTGGGTTGGGAAACTTGGTGGCAAGGAAGCAGTGGCAATTAATACTGCCTCCCTTCTCTCTGCATGGCCAGATCAGGCCCTGCTGTGCCTGCCCTGTGTGCCAGATTGGACCTACCAGCCAGTCGAACTTGCAGATGGACCAGATGTGGCCCATCCAGCCCATGTGGCAAAAACGTTGAGTACCTTTTGGTTGAGCCAGATTCACAAAGGGATTGGACAAATTCATGAAAAAAAGGTGCATCCATAGCTATTGAGCATGAGAGTTGGGGGTATAGCCTCTGAATCAGAATTTCCTAGACCTTAAATGCTGGAGCCTGTAAGTGGAAGAGGAACAGGAGAAAAGCCTTGGTCATACCCATTTCACTCCCTTTTGAATATCCACTCTCTGCCAGTGTGAGAGACTGGGTAGGATGGACCTATTGTCTGACCCAATAAATGGCAGTTCTTATGTGCTTGCCTCCTCAGCAGATGAAGAGAACTTCTTCACTTGTGTTGGAATTTGGTGGGTTTAAATGTTTTGATGGAAATCCTGTTTGTTCCTTCCTACTTTTTATGATGCGGCAGGTCATAGGAGTCTTTCTGGAACCTGCTTGGCATTGTAGCGATGTTGTTAATTTTACAGCAGTTCTTGCTCGTCTCTTGGCTGCTGGCTGTAAGCGTTCCTCAGCGGTTAGTCAGCAAAACAGTCCTGTGCCCACTTTCTGAATAGTGCCAGTGGCATCAGAGCTATGGCTAAGAAGGCAGATGCGTTATTTCCTCACAGAAATGCTCTTCTAGGTTTATCATTTCAGGCTGTAACTATGTAAGTCTACAGATGTTGCCTTCACCTTTTCCTAGTCCTCCTAATAGTCCAGGTGAGGGTATGGAAGCTATGATGCATTTTGGTGACAGTTATAAGCTTGACTTCATGTATCCATAGAATAAACAGCGTATCCTTGCCCTTATTGCTTGTTCTGCCTCCTTATTGCTTGCAGGAAATCCCGTATCTCTCAAGACAACGAACAGACTTCTGGATCTCTTGTGTTTCTATGGAGATCGAGAACCTCCTAGAGATTACCTGCCTGAAAAAGAAATGTCAGAAGAATCAGAAGTATGAAAAATCTGTGACTGGCCATTTAATTGTTCTAGTTTTAAGCCATAAGCATGCACTTGTGATGAGGAAAAGATTGCTGTATCTTCAGTACTTGGAACAGGAGTGAGATGCCAGGCAGATGCATGTATTGACACACTATTTTATTGTATTTACAAAATCTTGTCCTATATATGAGCTCCCACACAGTGGCCACCTTAAAGGCTGAACACAGATCTCCAGGACTTTGTCTAGATGTAGTTGAAACCATGTTAGTAAGAGCTATGTCTTTAAACAGCTGTTGAGAGTAGTGAACTTTTTTTTTCTCTGTGATGGTCATGTTTCCAGAGGGTGTTGTTGTAGTTACTGTACTGGAGTTATAGAGTATTGGCTGACTAACATGCATCCCAAAGTTGGGGCTCTTTGCCCACACTAGTCAGAGGACCACAGTAGAGCACTGATGCTGCTAGTGTGGGTTTTAACCACAACCTGGCCAGAGTCCACAGTTCTGTTTTGCAGGTGCTGTACTCAGAGGTGCTAAATGCTGTTGATCAGAGACAAGCAAATGTTGTCCCACACAGGTGCTGCTACTCTCTCCTTGGCCATGGGGTGGCTCAGGGGTGGGAAAGGGCAGAATAGGTCTTCATATGGTTCTGTCCTGCAGCCCAGCTCCCTCATCTGCTCGCCAGTTGTGGCGCACAGGTTCCAGGACACACTTCCATGCTCAAAACTTCCCCTTGCTCTGTACCCATTTTAGCTTATTGAAGACACAGAGGGATCTTTTTCCTGTTGTTGGGTGGAATGGGCTGTGGGGGCAAGACTTTTGTTGAAAGAAATGAATGTTGTTGTAGGGCACAAGGGTAGTAAACAAACAGTGAAGTATGCTTCTGCCTTAATTTTATTTTTTCTTTCTTAAGGAACAGCTAATGAGATAAGTGTAACTTCTGGCCTGACTTTCCCTTCAGTAAATAAAGTGTCTAAAAGGAGACCAGCCAAATGTAGTCTAGATGTCTCATGCCTCCTTCTTCCCTGGGATTTGTGTATAGATTCACTTACACTTCATCTGTATTTGCCCACTGTAAATTGTGGGTTGGAGGAAGAACTTCAGTTCCATAAGCAAGTAGGGTCTAAACCCTAAGTGACCTCTCCACTATGGAGAGCCAGGGGAAGTACCAGATTACTTTTATATTCTTTAAATCCTGTGTAAGCAGAGCTGTTCTTAACCTTGATGGCCCTCATTAGAAGTGCAGTAGGAAGCCAATAAGTTACTGAAAAAATAATTTACAGAAATAAATCTTTTTCAGGAAACAGCTCCAGTTCAGCAAAAGAAGTGGGGGAGTTTCAAGAATACCAGAGACATCACTGTTTGTACGTGGAGGTATGGACTGTTCTACCATTATTTCTTGAACTTTACTAAATATACCATGGATGTGGATCTCTTTTTAAAAAAAAAAAAAAGAGTTTTTGCTGCTTAGCATATTTGTAAAGATTTATATCTTCAGTTGTTCCTTTATGAATGCACATTGGCGTAAGAGATGCAGGTATTTACTGGATCACAAAACATGAACAAAATTGTATCCAGTTGAACTGCCAAACAAGTTTTTGGTTTTGTTTTTATATGTATATGTATACGTGCCTAACTAACCTGGTTTCTTTTTATGACTGGATCACAATGCTTGGATGAAGGAACAGAGGTAGATGTTACTTAGATTTTAAAAAGGCTTTTGACACAGTATTGCACCCAATTCTTATAAATAAACTAAACAGTTGTAATATAGATTATTACACAGTCCGGTGGGTGGAAAATTGGTTTATGGGATGCACCCAGAGAGTGTTGGCGGATGGGTCGGTTTCTACCTAGAGAAATGTGGGCAGCAGAGTCCCCCAAGGCTCTGTCCTGGGACCAGTAGTGTTCAGTATCTTCATTAGTGACTTGGATGAGGGAGTAGAAAGCACCCTGTCCAAGTTTGCAAATGACACCAAACTATGGGGGGCAGTACACAAACTAGAGGGCAGGGAGCGAATCCAGACAGACTTGGACAGGCTGGGGAAGTGGGAGGAACAGAAAAGGATACAGTTAAGCAAAGATAAGTGCCCTGTGTTGCACCTAGGGAGGAAGAATCATCAAGACTCCTATAGCCTGGGAGGTACCATTCTAAGTAGCTCAAAAGTACTTGACTTCAGGAAAGCTGACTTTGACAAGCTCAGGAGGCTTGTCAGTGAGGCCCTAAGGGACCATGACCCAAAGGGGAAGGGAATTCAGGAAGAGTGGTTGCTCCTCAAGGGAGCGATCCTGGATGCACAAGCTAAGTCTATTCTGTCTACGAGAAAACTCAGCAAAAGGGCACAGCAGCCCCCTTGGTTCAGCAATGAAGTAGCAGACCTCCTACATCTAAAAAGGACCTACAAAGGATGGAGGATGGGATCTACCTCCCAAGGAGGAAAATTCTGCACTGGTCCAGACCTGCAGGGAGCAAACGAGGAAAGCCAAGGCTGCAACAGAATTCCAACTGGCTACAAGCATCAAGGACAATAAAAAGTCCTTTTTTAGATACGTGGGGAGCCGGAGGAAAAGCAAGGGCAACGCTGGACCCCTGCTAAACCAGGTGGGACAGCTGATAACGAACACCCAGGAAAAAGCCAACTGGCTAAATGGGTACTTTGCATTTGTCTTTCACCAGTCCCATGGGATGCCCCTGCCCATTATGGGACGGGGAAGCCCAAGTGAAGGAGATTCCTTGCCCTCCATCAATGCTGACCTCTTGAAGGAACACCTTAAAAGGCTGGGTACCTTCAAGTCAGCCGGCTCTGACAGTTTACACCCAAGGGTACTCAAGGAGCTGGCATGCATTGTATCTCAGCCGCTGGCATAGATCTTTGAGAGCTGGCACTCTGGTGAAGTGCCCAAAGATTGAAAGAAGGCCTATGTGGTGCCTATCTTTAAGAAAGGGAGGAAAGTGGATCTGGCAAACTACAGGCCCATCAGCCTGACCTCTATCCCAGGGAAGGTCTTAGAAAGATTATCAGAGAGGCCATTCTTAACGGACTGGCTGATGGCAACGTCCTGAGGGATAGCCAGCACGGGTTTGTTGTGGGTAGGTCTTGCTCGACCAATCTTTATTTCCTTTAACGACCAGGTGACGTATCACGTGGACAAGGGAGAGGAGATTGATGTTGTATATCTTGACTTCAAAAAAAGCCTTTGATCTGGTACCCCATGATCACCTCTTGGCAAAACTGGTCAACTGCGGCCTCGGGTCCACCACGATCCGCTGGCTGGGGAATTGGCTCCATGGCTGGACCCAGAAGTCAGTTGTCATAGTGCCCTGTGACCAGTGGGGTCCCCCAAGGCTCTGTTCTTTAACCTATATTAGTCAACATCTTCATTAATGATGTGGACATTGGAGTCAGAAGCAGACTGCCCAGGTTCGCCGGTGATAACAAACTCTGGGGTAAAGCATCCACACCTGAGGACAGGAGGGTGATCCAGGCTGACCTGGACAGGCTTAGAAAATGGACGGACGAGAACCTGATGGTGTTTACCACCAAAAAATTCAAGGTTCTCCGCCTTGGGAAGAAAAACCCGCAGCATGCTTATAGGCTTGGCAGTGCTATACTGGCTAGCACTACAGATGAAAGGGACTTGGGGGTCATGACTGACCACAAGATGAACATGAGCCTTC